TAGCTTTAAGACTTTCCCAGACCAGTGCGTTTATCAAACTTGTCCGTGCCGATGTATTTCCCTCAGACACACAGAGGGTGGTCGCTGTTCCCTGGCTTAGAGAAGAGCCCTGTGCAGAGCTGGGAGCTTGTCCTGGCTGAAGGAGGTGTCGGTGTGGTGGCTGTGCGGTGTCAGTGGCTCATCCCAGCTCGCTGGCTCTGTTCGTGCTGGTTTTACGCTTCTGCAGAAGGATAACCTTAAACAAGGGTGGCAGGATCCTGGTGCTTGCTGTGCCCTCTCCAGCGATTAGCTATGACAGCAGGAACTGATCTTTACGTAGTTGGGCATTGCACTGGGTGATGGCCACAGTGGAGTGATCTGGCTCCTCCCTGCCTTCCTGCACTCCACAAGGACTCTGGAAAACCTCCTCCTGGACAGAAGCCTTTCCTCCTGCTTGCAGAGTTTCCGTGGCTGCGCAGTGCCCTGTGCAGGGCTGCTCCTGGGAGCCTGCAGGTCCGTCACACAGGTGGGTCCTCATGTGTTGCACCCAGAGGAGTAATGACCTTGCAAGAGCATTTTGCTAATTACGCCTTAGCTATTGCATCACCAGGCTGTGCTTTCTAAGAAAGTTTTAGACTGGAGGTGAGTCTACCAGGTTGATGAGTTTATTGGTCTTCCTTTGTGTGACAAACTAGACTGTGTTTCTGAGGAGGTTTTGGAAAGTAATTATTTTGAATTTGAATTGGTTCAAAGTTTAGAATTATGGAATGGTTTTGGTTGAAAAAGACCTTTAAGATCAAGTCCAACCATTAACCCAGCACTGCTAGGTCCCCACTAGCCCATGTCCCTCAGCACCACATCTCCATGGCTTGGAAACCCCTCCAGGGATGGGGATTCCACCACTGCCCTGGGCAGCCTGGCACAGCCCTGGACAACCTTCAAGGGGAAGAAATTTTTCAACCTAACCCTCCTCTGCCGCAACTTGAGGCTGTTTCCTCTTGTCCTGTTGCTTATTCCTTGGGAGAAGAGCCTGACCCCCACCTCACTCCAGCCTCCTTTCAGGGAGCTGTCAAGAGCCAGAAGGTCTCCCCTGAGCCTTTAAGTCTACTGAAATCTGTGGGTGTTTGCAAATTCTTGAAACAGCTCTGAAGGCCTAATAGCAACTGCTCAAAGCCAGGGACCTGCTTTTCAGACCTGGGTCCAGATACGTGCACAGAGCATGAGCATGAGATGGGGGGCCCGGCTGCAGGAGCTGGATGTGCTGCCACCCTGGGATCTCTGCAGCTTGTGTGGCTGGAGAGCAGCTTTGGTGCTATTTGTTGGCAGACCCCTGGTTTCAGCAGTGGGGTTGCTGCGGCTGCTGCAGGAGAGATTGCTGGGGCAGGTTACTGGGCACCAAAGGGTTTGGCCAAAGCTGTGGCTGTGCTGGGGCCATGGGTGAGTGTCAGGGCTGCGTCTGCAGAGAGCTCCACAGCACACCGAGCTCAAATGATCTCCATTTTAATTAGTTATTGACTTCTGCTGATATTTCCATTAAATATTCCCTCAGGCAAAAAGTAGAAACTGTTGGCACCTGCTACCTGAGCTGTAGCTGCCGCGGGTCGCCCCCATCGCCCGCTTTTTGC